CCAGCTCGTGTGTTTTCCTGCGTCCAGGACTCCCCCCCCAAATGTCTGACTCCAGCTCCATGCCTCACAGAAACGTATCAATTACCACGGTTGCCCGAGCAGCTATTTGAGGCCCATCGCGTCCTAATTCCTGGACAAGAGGTGCCATCAGCTGATAGTCGCCTAAGGGGCGGACACCGTGAGCGGGAGGGGTGACGCCCTGCCACGGGCTTCAGATGTCGCCAGGGAGCGCCCGCTCTCACGTCCAGCAGGGCTCCCCTCCCTTGTTTCTTTTCTTTTCTTTTTTAATTGATTAGAGAGAGAAATTTGGATTTGTTGTTCCACTTATCCACGCATTCACTGGTTGATTCTCATGTGCGCCCTGACAGGCGTCAACACCCAAACCTTGGACGACCCTCTAATCAACTGAGCTCACTGGGCCAGGGCCCTCCCGGTTTCCTGCGGCAGGTCCGGGAGGGCACAGATGCATCTTCTGTAAATCTCTGTGGGCCGAACTACGCACAGAACCATCGGCACAGAGAGAGGAGGGGACAGTGTCGCACCGGGCGTGGAGCGGGATGGGGTGCGCTGCAGCAGGACGGACTCTGCCAGGAGCTGCTGGGGAGCCTGTCGGGCACTGGCACAGCCTGAGCGCTGACAGCAGCGTCCCGCACAGGAAAAGTGTGATTATGTCCCCAAAGAGTAACGCAAGCTTTGAAAGGAAAATAGTTCTGAGACAGCGGCCTTGCGGCTCCGGGACGGCGGCTGCACCACAGCTGCTGCGTCCAGGGGAGCCTGTGGGCGCTGTCGGCTGTGCTAGAGGCAGAGGCGCCGTTAGGAGGAGAGGCCACAAAGGCCGGCGTCTAACCAACTGATGTTCGCTGAGTGAGGCCGAGTGGGGAGTGAGTCGAAGAGGCAAAGCCCCCCTCGGACACCACGCATCCCTGCGGCTGGGTTTCTTTCCTCACTATTGACGTTCAGAGAACGCTCTGTGGGGGCTGCTCTGTGTTACAGGCTGTTAGCAGCACCCCTGTGTTCTACTTACTAGACGACAGTAGCACCCCCCAAACTGGCAACCCAAGTGTCCCCTGGGCAGGTGGGGTGGTCCCACCAAGGCTGCCACCCAACCCGCCTGCTTGCTCTCTCGCCCCGGGCTCTGCTGGGCAGCAGGAGGCGCCTGGTGGGCTGGAGAGGATCGGGGCCAGGTTGAGAGGGGTGCACAGCTCCCCTTGGTGGTTACGGAAGCGCTGCCTCCGACTCTAACAAGACTAGAAACCTGGAGAAGTCTCTGCGCATGTGCAGGACAGGGGAGAGCTCGGTTTATTGGGGTGCTGAGCAACACCAGGTGAGCTGCTCACACCTGCTTGGCAGTGCCCTTCCTGGTCTCCAGCTTCAGGTGGCCAGACAAGTCCCTCAACTCCATGACCAGGTGGCCGAGAAGCACGCGCACATCCTGCATCTGTCTGAGGAGAAGGCCCATCCGGTGGTGCAGGTGGGGGTCGGAGGCCTGCTGGGGAGAGGGGGGCGCTGGGCCCCC